TAGCTGGCAAAAATTATTTCCCAATCTGTAGGTTTCACTTTTCAGTAGTTTCCTTTGCTGTCCTTTTTAATTTGGTGTATTTCCTGTAGAACTAAGATTTTCTTCATAAAATCTGCCATCTTCAATTATACCTACTCTCTTCCAGCAGATTCTTTTTTGTATTTGTATCTGTTCCACTTTGATTTTAATTTAGGGCAAGCTGAGAGATAACGGTGGGCTAGGTTCAGTCTTCGGCATGTAGAAAACAAGTATTCCCAGTTCCATTTGTTAAAGAGGACATCTTTCCTCCAGTGAAGTTTGGCCCCTTTGTCAAATATAGCTAAGTGTGGCACTCAGCCCAACTTTTTTTTTTTTTTTTTTTTGTACCGGGGATTGAACTCGGGTCCTTGCACTTGCAAGGCAGGCCACCGAATTGCTGAGCTAAATCCCCGGCCAGCCCAAGTCTTAAAAGGTTCCAAATAGGACACAACCTCACAATAGCATAAGGGCCATATCTTTTACACAAGGGCCTTTGGGAGACAGTGATCAAGACTACAGCAATGCCCAAGAATTCTAGCTACTTACAAGTCTTCAATCTTTATGCAAACTAAGTAATATTCAAGTCAATATAGGCCACAGATTGTGGAGATATCCCCAAACTTTGGAAATACCTTAAAATATTTGCTGTTATCATTACAATGGGCTGGTTTAATTTTAAATTTTATTGTTGTAGGTCTGCCATAAATTAGTAATGACAAAAATACTTTTAATTCTGCATTTTTAAAAGCTTCATGATTAAATTTTTTTTCCTTCTCACCTACGCAATTCCTCTCAAGTGGATCCTATTACATTTCCCTGTGCATCTCCAAAGGGACTAAAAACATTAACCACAAATTTGAGATGGGTTTTGTGTTCAAAGTTCCCTGATAATTCCTAGCCATTTGCATCTGTCCTATTTTCTTACCAGTGGAACATGGGGAATTTCTTTCCATTTTCACTACCAACCAGATCTGAAGAATTGCAAAGTTCAGTAAGACTTTTTTTTTTCTGTAGGTTATAGCACAGCCAAAACTTGGGACCAAATGTATGTCTTCAACTGCACTATTTTCTCCAAAAATTTGTGTTTAGGTAAGATCATCACAGCGAGTTCTAATCCAATACATTCATGTCCTTAGAAATGGGGTAAATTTGGACAAATACACAAGGAGAAAGCCCTGTGAAGATGAACAGAGCTTGGGGCAATGCTTCTATAGGCCTGAAATCCCCCCCAAACAGCCATGAAATTAACAAACTTAGCACATGGAACAGATTCTTCAGTCTTTAGAAGAAACTAATCCTACTACTTAGACTTTAAGCATTCACTCAGTGTATGATACTGTTTTACTAGTCCTGGAACACTAATGCATTATCTTTTAACATCACAGTTTACCTCTTTTCTCACTGTGAATGGTTAAGCCTGCACAATTCATAATACTAAGAAAACCTCTAAAAACCCTCAAAACCTCTAAAAAAACCCTCACAAAAGCAGGCCATAAAAAGGGTGAAATTTTTAAAAGTTCATATCTACAATAGTGATAGGCACTTACATTCATATTTGGATCGTGCTACTCATACTAAGAACACACACACAAGGGAAAGCAAACAAAAATGAACACCAGAATTTAGATTTTAGTTTTATTCTTGGTAAAAAGTGCATTTTTAAAAAAAAAAGAAAAGAAAAGTGTTGCAATAACCATTTTCCATTAGCAACTTTAACAGTCAACTCAATTCATAACAGGTTTTCCTATGCATCAGAATCTCAACAGTCAAAATGAACCAGCAGTACCTATTTTTTAAGTGTAGCTCTACCTGCTTCAAATATTGTGTAAAGCATTACGTGATCAAATAAAACTAAACTTTATTCACCATCTAGTGCAGTTAATAGTAACAGGTATTTTTATTGTTTCAACTTGATTTTGAAAGTGTTATCAAATACTTTGTGAATGTAAAACTAAGCTCTCTTAGAGTATGCCAAGTGATGCCAACAAAAACACTGTAGGGTTATTACATGACCAGTTTGGCTCGTATCAGTCTTTTGCTAAGTGCACATATCAGGGCTATCAACAGGAGGTAGAGTTAAATAGATTGAAAGCAACTGATTAATTCACTAACATAGAAAGCAAACTCCTATATCCTACTACACAGGTATAATTTAACATATTAGTGCCAGATTCTTTTCCCTCAGACAAAAGTCCCTTATTTTCATAGTAAACAGCTACTTTGACATTTAGGAATGAAAAGGTATACTTTAAAAAGTACTAATATCTCTTACTATGTCTGAGTAGTAGTAAAATAAATGAAACCACAGGAATCCACATTATAAATAAAACACAAGTAATAGAAAAGGAATCCAGAATCCAGTCAAGCCAACAAGCAGCAAATAAGCAAATTAACTACATACCACAAAATGGGGACAAAATTAGAAATGGGCCAGACAGTAAGCATTTTAGTAGTTATTGGTTATACATCTGTGTCAGACTATCCAGGTCTGCCACAGTAGCAGGGAAGCAGCCAACAATACATAAGTGTGACCATTCTAACAGAAATTCATTTCTGGACAATAAAGTTGTTGTTCATATATTTTCGTCCTTTTCAAAATAGTCTAACTTTTTCCAACTATATAAAAATATAAACAGCCATTTGAGCTTGTGGGCAGTACAAAAACAGGTGGCAGGTGTAGTAGGTCTCTATATACAAACTTACAAGGTAAGAATGCCACCCTTCAATTTCTATATTCAAAAACTGATTCCATCTCACCTCCATTTTTACAAAGTTTTCATTCTATAAAAATAAAATGCTTTAGACATCTTTTAATCAATTATGTAGAAAAAGTTATACTATATTCCATTTTCAATTCCATAATACTATTTTAAAGGTGAGCTTCCTACTCACATTTTTTATCCACTTAACAAATGTGCCTTCTGTTGGAAATTATTGACTGCTGCTATGTATGTGGGGGAGGAACTAAACTATTTTTTAAAAAGTCACTCAAAGGGTTCATGACCATCAGTTACGATATTGTGTTAGGTACAGAATAGCTAAAAGTAAGTTAACAGCTATTTTCAGTATATACATACAACTGCTTGTCTTTATATCAAATAGCTTCATTTTCTCGTTAAAATTTAGGCTCAGTGTTTCTTTTCCCTCCACTTCATCTCTCTGTAGCATATCTGCTTACTGTTTAAAGAGCTTAGATTTACGCACAATTATGTCAGTTAAGATAATGTAAGAATATAAAATTACGTATTTTTCCTTTTGATATCAACAAGTAGAAAGATAGCCTTCAGTTTACAGTCTTACAGAAAAGTAGGGGTTACAGCTTAGTATGTCATCTTTGGATTTAAAGAACAAATTTAATTGTTCTTTGGAGAAAGTTTTAGTATATAAAAGGAAAAATGGTAAAAACCAAAATGTAAAATTTAACATATTCTAAGAATGAAGTGAACTCTCATTCTTTAAGACTAATACAGAACTTGAAATCTGAAGGACTGAGCATTAAACCTGACATATAGTAAACTCCCATTAACTGGGCCACAAAAAAAATAAATAAATAAATTTAAGCAATTAATAAAAATTGAGACAGGTCTTGAATATAGTTCAGGATAACTTTGAACTCAATTCTGCCTCAGCCGCCACAGCGTTGGTATTACAGATGTGAGATATAATGCCTTACTATAATAAATAAATCCTGATAAACTGATTTCAAAATCCTACGTGACTTTTGCTTAAATTTTTTGTAAGTCCTTTGAATTAAGGAAGCCCTTACAAATAAGTTTTAAATACATGAGAAATCTGACTCCAAACCAAATTTTCAAGAAAAATTCACTTTAGAGAATCAAAATTATTCAACTATACCTTTCAAACAAGACTTTATAATAAAACAAATTCTCAAGAAAGTAACACAACAGGGCCAGGGATTTAGCTCAGCGGTTCTACTGCCTTCCTCGCAAGCGCAAACACCCAAGTTTGATCCCCAATACCAAAAAAAAAAAAAAAAAAAAAAAAAAAAAAACAAAAAAAAAAAAAGAGACA